GCGACTTCTACCGGGATTGTGGCGGGCATTCTGACACTGGGGAGAACTGATTTGGTGTCACTGACATCCCCAGTGACACCAATATAGTGGGCAGTGCTAATAAAAAGAAAAAAAACAAACAAGATATACCTGTGCTCAAATCCCAATAGATAGTACATGCATTTATCCATCAGATGCTAAAGGGGTGTAACCACATATTAACACTAGAAATTCTAAAGGACCCTCTACACACTGGTATATACCCTTTCAAGCAGAATTTGCAATAAATAGGGATATTTAGTTCACACATATTGCAATACATGTTTAAGCTGGCCAACTGCGTCAAAGTAATCTCTCTATGGCCAGTCCTACTCTGCTCTGCCTCTGTAAATGCTTCTGTGGACATAATGTCAATGTAGGGGAAAATACAAAGTGGGGGTGAGCTACAAGGTCTAGGTCTGGCTACTGACCCAACAATACAACAAACAAGAGATACCTAATAAAAAGCACTGACACTGTACTAATGGCACTGGGCAGGAAGGGGTTAACATGTGAGGTGATCAAAGGGTTAACTGTGTGCTGTTTTGCATACTGGGCCGTGTTTTTGCTTCACTGTAAGCCCCCTGACGGAAATGCGCTGGTGAGTAATCAACAGCTAGGACCCGATGATTCACCGGGTGCCAGCGAGTAATCACCAGGCGCTAACGAGTAATCAACGGCCGGGATCCGGTGATTGACAACCGAGGCCGCGAATGGCGGCTCTGGTAGGGCGTGTGCATGGCCCGCGCATGCCCCCCTACCCGGAAATGCAAAATCAAGTATATATATATATATATGATTTTGCGCACCTGTGCCACCCTGTAGCAGTACTGCTAAAGGGCGGACGGGAAGTGGTTAAAGGTGGAAAAAGTTCTGAAATGATTTATCTTTGTCTCATTTTTTTATATCACAGAAATCTGACATATTACAGTGGTGTGTAGACTTTTTATATCCACTGTACATGTTGCAGATTCCTGTGCAGAAAAAATCTGCATGTGATATTAGTGTTGTGGTGTGAACAGGGCACAAAGAGATAAACATATACTGATAGCAATACTGTTTGGGAGATACTTTGTACAAAGCGCTTATTCACGTCTTACATGAGGATAACTAGGACAGTGAAGGAGACCCAGATCCACTGGACAGCACAACCATCCCACCATAGTCCACCTAAGGGACACACATATATATGGCCTCACTTAGCGGTTTGGTCATATACATAAGGTGAGAGCACAATCGGTGGAGGTGTACACATATTGGCATGAATATATTGCACGAGGTGTACTAAGAAGCATTCCATCTCCACACATTAGTGCATATAAACAACTACGGATTCTAATATTGCATGGACACTTATTTGTAAATGATTATAGTTGTTTTTTTATTTATTGTTAGTGGAGCGCAGTACTAGATTGATATGTAATTACATATAACACATGGGTATGTGTATGGTGTGAGTGATTCACAATTTCAATATTAATATGATATAGTACATATATTGTTTATATTATTTGGCATTTATACTCAGTGTAGCAGCTCACAAGATTTTCTATATATCGGCACATAGAGAACAATCGTTTTTTTTTTGTGCGCTTACAGAATGCGTGCAGAAAAAACTCATGTCTCGGCACCATAGTATGAACGAGGCCTAAATCTTTTAAACTTCCAGTAGTACGATTTCTAATTTCCACTTATTAGTTTCAAACCCACCTTGCAAGTTTGAATGTGAATCTTGATATACCCAGAAAAAAGAGGTGACCTAAAAAAAGCACAGGTTGCAAGGAGGAGATCCACTGGCGCCCCATGTAAATTATAGATAATTCAGCTAAAAGAATATTGAATTCAATTTCTAACTATATCAGAGTTATGATGTTTGCCGGCATTAGCAGTTTACTGTTTTCAGTTGTTACCTGAATTGCTGACGTTGAAAGTAACAGCTCAATAGAACAGATAAAAAAAAAATGAGAATTTTGTACTGGAATTGATCAAAGCTTAAAATTAGAGACAGTGCCAAGAACATCATTTCTAAGGAGAAATCATCAAACAAAGTGCTAGAAAAACAATAGTAACTATTCATTACAGTTTAGGAGACAGAGTAAAATATTTGCTTTATATTTGCCACCTTTCTTTGACAAAAAGGAATGTTTCTAGCCTTGAGCCGTATTTATTAAAATACACTGATGATTTACTCCGCTTGTTATTTCTCCCTTAACTCTCCGGGTCTACTGTTGGCTGGTTTGATTAATGAAGGTTTTTGCCAAATTGAATTGCCCATTAATAAATGCCATGGGCCATGGAGATAATTATAGCTTTTAAATCAGCTCACATTAACATAAGCTACAAAAACATTACACCATGTAAAAAGGCCTAATGATCTCCTAGTTAGCGATATATACATTTCATTCACTGCTCTCCATGTTGGCTTCTTGGTTTGACCTTTTATTAAATTTGTTTTATGTGCGGTTCAAACAAGAACAATTTTTTATGTACCCAAAACACAAAGACATTCTTCTTTATCTTCCAAGAAATATAGTTCCTTTTAAAACAAAAATTTGTGTTGGACTGCATTGCAGGAGAACTGGAAAAAAGTCTTTCTGCTAGATTTCATCAGATTTATCATAATTGTTGCTGAAAACACAGTCAAATAAACCACACCCCAGCTTCCCTGCCCACCTAACTCCCTTAAAGGGACACAGTCACCTTCCCAGTCAAGGTAAAGTGACAGTGCTTCTTGATAGCCCCCCTTCCTGGGTTGAAGAAAAAAAAAGTGCAGATTCCCCCATCCACACCTTTTGAGGTGGATGGAGGAGTCACTCCTGCTTTGCTATTGTATTCTCACAGCAGAGAGCCTTCCCCACTGTCAAAACACAATGATCAGTGTTGCCCCCTATCGCTGGCAGCAAGGATTGTTAAAAAAAATAAAAGAGGGTGGTTGTACAGAAGCTGATCAATGGATTGACTTCTGTACAACTAGGGTACCCATACATGGATCAAATTTGGCCGGTCCCTGCTGAATTGGCCAAATTTTAATCCGTGTATGGCCGGCTTCCCCACTGGCAGAACACAATGATCAGTGTTGCCACCTATAGCTGGCAGCACTGATTGTTCAAAAAAAAAAAAAATAGGGTGGTTGTACAGAAGCTGATCAATGGATTGACTTCTGTACAACTAGGGCGCCCATACATGGATCAAATTTGGCCGGTCCCAGCTGAATTGGCCAAATTTCAGTCCGTGTATGGCCGGCTTCGCCACTGTCAGAACACAGTGATCAGTGTTGCCAACTATAGCTGGCAGCACTGATTGTTCAAAAAAAAAAGTCTGAGAGGGTGGTTGTACAGAAGCTGATCAATAAAGTGACTTCTGTACAACTAGGGCTCCCATACATGGATCCAAATTTGGTCGGTCCCTGCCAAATTTCGATCCATGTATGGCCGGCTTAACAGAGAAGCAGCTCACTTCCCCAGTGTGACAGTTCTTGGACCTGTCATGGGGGGGCAATGATGTTACTCATCTGGGTAAGCTCCGACACTAGAGTTATTCAGGGTGGGCTCCTAAAATGGTGAAAGAGTGTAAATGGGTGAATATGCCTTGCTACAGAGGTGACCTATTAGGAGACACTTGAACTGGTACTAGGCATTCTTTGGGTGGTTTGATGATGGATCAGGAGCATGCAGAAAGTAAGGTTGTGACTTGAGTCCTTCCTTTACCTTTACTATGAAAAGTACAAGGTTTAATTTTAAAGTACAGATTTACTTAACTGAGAACGAACTGAAAGTCTTGAAATACTTTGTTTTCCAGCAAATCCCATGGTGGCCAATTAAATGCTTAAAAGGCAATCGACATCTTTACCTGAGAGGTGATTCTTCTCTTCTGTAGAGATCACGTGTGTGTTGTCTCCGCATTTTGTTATATGACTAACCTTCATCATTTCTTTAGCCTTTTTTTACATTAAGGGATGGGGGTGAACAGGGTAGAAAGGGGGATTAGGATTGTCTTTATTATTGCTTTAAAGCCTATTTTTCAGATTTTAGTTAACCCCCCCCCCCCATCCTCTCGCTGACATAGCCACCCAAAGCTAGATTTCACAGAGCTCAATGTTAGCGCTAAATGTTACTTGCATACGTTTGTTTCCTAAGTCACTGCTCTAGTCTTTCTGCTTGGTGTAATTCTAAGGATGGTTCGTACCTAAGGCTAGGTTCACATATGTGTGGGTGGTGCGTCTGCGGATCGCACGAAAATCTGCACAGAGGAATGCGGACCTGTGGGTGGGTGCCATTAGTCCTAATGGCACGCCACCCGCACTGGAAAACGCAACCCTACTGGGAACTGAGGTTCCCGTGTGGGCTGCGTTTTCAGAAGAAGTGCAGGGACTTTTTCCCTGTGTGTCACGTGGCACGGGAGTCCATTCAAATGAATAGGCTCTCGTGCCCGCACAAAAAACGTCCCGCACGGTCGCATATATGTGAACCAGGGTTAAATGCTGGCTGTGAGAAAGTTTTGAAAGTTTGATACATCAGGCATTTGGTATGTAAGTGACATTAAGTTGCCTACAGTGTGGCCCCGTTCACACCAGAACAGTGCAGGAAACCCGGGTTCCATGCACGTTTCCGGAATTGTGTTCAAAATGCACTGCAGTTGCCATCAGTGGGTGTCAATGTTAAGTGAGCGACACCCCAAACACAGGTGCAAACACAGTGTGTTTGCCTGCTCCGCATCACATGATACAGAAGTGCCATTCAATCCAGTGCGTTTCCAAATGTAGTGCATGCATTACTTTTGGTGTGGTGCAGTGCGATTTGAGCCCATTTAAATTGAATGGACTCAAATCGTACTGCAGTGAACCACATGTGAATCGCACAGGAGTTCCTAGTGTGAACCAGCACAGGTAAGCAAAAAGAGTTGGTTGGCTGTTGTACTACAGTTATGCCTCCATGAACTGATGCCCTGAGCATGCAGGCTGTGTTCACTGTATGACTTTCAAAGCTTAACCTCCCTGGCGGTATTCCCGAGTGTAGCTCGGGGTAAAGTTTCAGTACCACAAGCGGTAACCCCGAGCTACACTCAGGCTTACCATGCGGCGCTGCTCCTCGATCACTTACCTTGTCCTGCGCTCCCGCGATAACCCCCCTGCAGTGTCCCCGGCAATGTAAACCGGCGGAGGCTGGCATCTGTCATCTGGGTTCCGTCCCCTGCGAGCGTCGGGACGCACGGGGGACGGAACGGTGGGAAATTTGAAAATGACAAAAAGTGACAGTCACTAAAATCACAAAGTATAACATTACTGTATCAAACCATTTCACATACATTTTGTCCCGAGTGCTTTGTCCTGTGCCCTGCCTGCATTTTTACTGTTCTTTCTGCCTGGAAACTGAGAAATGTCCATGGTGTCCAAAAAACGAAAATGTCCCTTTATGTCAAAAGCGGCTTTAGACCAGCTAGAGAACAGCGACAGTAAATTAGAACTACTTGCAGAATTGAGTGATAATGATTTGTGGGGAAATTTGTCATCAGACACTGAAAACGATATAGCGACTTTGCTCAGTGATGTGCGAACTTGGCGCTCTATTTCAAATTTCAGTGTTTTGGGTTTGATTATATTATTGAATTAAATGTATTATTATTATTTTTAATGATTATTTATTAAATTATAGTTTATGATTTCATGTTTCAAGTTTTATCCTACCCGGGATGTTTACTAGACTCTTGTTCGGACAGATTTCAGTGAGTTATTCCTAAAAATTTCAGGCCTACAATAAAAAAAAATACATATTTCCATGAAAAAAATGTACCACTTTGAGCACAAAAATACTGACATAATCAGACCTCTAGGGAGGTTAACAGGTTTCTAAACCCAAGAACAAAAATGTGCATATTGCAGGTTACTAGTCCGTAGACATGGTGGCTGCAAGGGTTTCCTTCATTCAGGTTTAGTAGATTTTCTGCAAGTACAGCTCCTTCCAGAAAATCAGTGTCCTTGTAACCTCTTGTGTACTAAACTGAAATCGCAAGCAATGTTGTCACCTTTCCCAGCTATCTTCTGTGAACCACAAAACATTGCCCCTCTACGTAGGAGAAGGGTAGGTGTTTTTTAGTCTTAAAACACTTTCTGTCCTAGGGTGACTAGTCTGTTAAGCAATGGATACAGCAGGGGCGGACTGACCATTTGGAAACTCAGGCACTGCCCGAGGGCCCGGGGTCAGTAGGGGGCCCCATGAGATGCCCCTGGTACCTTTTTCATAGGCTTTTTTGAATTTGGGCAAGGACACAGGGGCCCCATGATCCCCTATTGCCCTGGGGCCCAATAAGATGTCAGTCCGCCCCTGGGATACAGTGTAATGAGTGAGCATTGTCAAAATCACCAAGTGAAAATAAAGCAAATAAAAACTGAATGCAGGAAACTAATAGTGGCTTCACACTGCGCCGATGTGGTCCCGCTGCGCTTTGGACAAAGTGCAGCAAACTTGCCTTTTTTGTGTAGGTTACCGGTGCTTTCCCATAGACTTCTTTGATGTCTCGTGGTTTTGGTGTGGTTTCAGAAAGTGCACCAAAGATGCAGTATGCAGGAGTTTTTGTGTGCGTTCTAAAAGCACACCAAAACCGCAGGACCTCAAAGAAGTGTATAAGAAAGCGCAAAAGCACAGCGGGGCAATGTGAAGCCACTGTAATGCAGCTACCACCTCTAAGGACTGGTTAGCTGTAATGGATTATATTTTTGTTCTTGGGTTTAGATACGCCTTCATTTTTTCATTTTCATATTCTCCTGCAGCATTTAAAGGTGGAAGCTCTGGCTCCCGCTCTTATCAAGCTATTTGCAATGGTCCTGTTCATGAGTATTCCTGAATTCTTCATTTAATTCTTACTCAGATTCTGCCATTTGCCTTGGCTTCAGCTCCCAGTAAATGCCTGATGGGCACTGATGTTAAAACTGATTGCCTTCAACCAGCCACTGATTAATGTTCATTTGCAGTGCCGCCCTCTTGCTGCTGTCTGAATCCCTGTGTTATAAGGAATAATATGCATGAATCCTCTTCACACACTTATTTTTCATTTTAATTGCATATTTCAGGCAGCCATGACAGCTGTAAAGGTTACAGTTAAGACCAATTGTTCATACATATATAGCAGCTCGTCTCATTACTGTGCTGTAATAATTGATACGGAGAAGAGGTGGGTAACGGCCGAGACGCACATAATTTCATATGATGAAGATATTTTTCTATCGTAAAAGTGGCAGAAGATGAAAAAACTGTGCATGATTTACTGAGCAGCTTTAATAATGGTCGGCGCGCGTACAGATTTGGAATAATTTATAGAAAGAGTCCCAGGATTTTGTGTTTTAACTGGCTGGAAAGTGCAAAGTCAGGCTGTTCTGGTGTGCGAGCCAGTTGTAAGTCAGGAAATCATTAGAGATAACTACATTTATCATTATTAATTCTGCTCAGCGCGGGCATGTACAGGACTTTCACATTTTTCCTTTGGCAATCTACAGATGTCTTGATTGTATGCACCTGCCTAATCAATGCAGCAGGGGGTTCTGGGTAATTGTGTGTCAGTAACCATCAAAAGAAATTCGGATTCTGCAGCTAAATTCAAAATGATTGTCTGTCTCCATAAACCTGTATTCCCGAATCCCTTAGGCCATACTATATAGAGACCTGTCCAATTAGCTGCATTGGTTGGGTTTTTTTTAACCAAAGTTGACCAAAAACAGTCGATTTTGGTAAAATGTTTTCAAGTAATCCAACTACTTACAGTCTCACCAACAGCTTTCCTTTGGCCAATTGCTGCATAGGAATATACACTCATACTCTACTATTTACTAAAATCATAGAGTGCAGAATGTGGTACAGCTCTGCATAGAAACCAATCAGGTTTCATTGTCAAAACTTAATTGAACAAGTTAGAAGATGATTGGCTACCATGCACAGTTGCACCGGATTCTGAGTGCTCCTGTTTAGTAAATCCTCCCCATAGTATATTGGACCCCACACCCACTTTAGCCAAGTTATATATTTAAAAAGGGATTCATGTATATCTGAAGGCAAAACTTTTAGATAGTGTAGAAAATGTTTATAACCCCTGTCAGGTTTTTTCTTTTAATGTCTGCATCCAATTTGGGAGATTTCTCTTTATGAAAATGAGAGAAAATCTCTCAAGTGAAGGAAAGTTCCCTCTTGGAGAGTTATCATTGCAGCATGGTTTCTTTTCTGGTGACAACTATAAAACCTGTGGCTTTAGATGTACTCTACTGGCCGGTTCACAACATGCCCACATCTAAATTGCACAGGAACCCGCTGTGCATTTCTGTGCAATTCAAAACGCGCTACATTTGCAATCTGCAGCAGGTTAGAATAAAAAGTTAACGACATCTCAAACGCAGGTCACAAATGCAGTGCGTTTGTCTGAAACTTCTGCACTGGATTGTATGGTACTTTTGTACCATTAAATCCGGTTGCAGTGCATTTTAAAAAATAGTGCATGCACTACTTCTGGTGCAGTGCAGTTTCAGCCCATTCAAACTGAATGGGTTGAAATCTCACCGCACAGAACTGCATGGTGTGAACTGGCCCTTAGGGCTGGCTTACAAGTATATATTGGCTCATTGTGGTGCTATTCATTTTGACTAACACCCCAGCACGCTAGGGCAAAGCACATACATTATGGTGCTCTGCAGCAAAACTTTTGAGACATGTCTGATATTTGGGATGTTTTGGCACGGCAATGGTCTGCCTTAATGCAACACACATTAAATGCATGAGCAAACGTAAATTGTCCCTAAAAATATTTTACCAATATAACTAACTAAATGGGGTTTTATATAAGCTTCCCGCTATCCTTTACAAAGCAGAGCTCATAATAGGACAGAGGGGTCAGAACAGTATTGTCACTCTGAACATGTTTACATGATAGAAAAGCCAAAAGGAGTTCTTATTAGTGTAGAGCAGAGATCTCCAAACTTTCTAAACAAAGGGCCAGTTTACGATCCTTCAGACTTTAGGGGGAGGACTGTGGCCAGTAGGAATAGAAAGTGCCCCATTGTCATTGAGAATAAACAATGCCACAGGCTTGGGTTAGGGACAGTGGGAGGAATAGTGCCCATTGTTGGGGACAGTTGGAGGAATAGCGCCCATGGTTGGGGTCAGTGGGAGGAAGAGTGCCCATGGTTGGGGTCATTGGGAGGAATAGTGCCCATTGTTGGGGTCAGTGGGAGGAATAGTGCCCATGGTTGGGGTCAGTGGGAGGAATAGTGCCTGATCATTGCTGTCAGTGTAAAAAAAAATGCCCCACTGTTGGTGTCACTGGAAGCAATAGTACCCTATCACTGGGGTCAGTAGAATGAATAGTGCCCCATCATTGGTATCAGTGGTAATAATAGTGCCCCATCATTGGGCTCAGTGGGGGATAGTGCCCCATATCAATAGGGGAGAAAATGCCCCAAGGATAAAGGAAAAGCAAAGGGCCACATCTGGCCCTTGAGCCACAGTTGGAGAACACTGGTGTAGAGCATTGTTCAGTCACATACAGTACTTGTATAGATCCTGGACTAAGTTGCAGTGCTCACCTGCAGTGTAGTTTGCAGGATGTCAAAGGCCTGGTTGTGATGTCTGACAGATGTCCTTGTGTTACAAACAGACCGGCAAATAATATGGCAGGTTAAACAATTCACATACAAGCATACTTCGGTTTACGAATTTAATTCGTTCCACAGGACTTTTTGTATTGTGAAAAAATTCATAAAAAACCAAAATGCAGTTTCCCATAGGAATGCATTGAAAACCGATTAATCCGTTCCAGAGGTCAGAAAAAAGTAAAAAAAAAGTCTTTTATCTGTTCAAAACTCTTTATGAAGTGCACTTTAAAGGCATAAATACTGTACAGGGACATGATTAAAAATTAATTTGTAAATGCATTGAAAACCAATTAATCTGTTCGTATTGCGAAAAAAATTCGTAAATGCATTGAAAACCAATTACTCCGTTCCAGAGGTCAGAAAAAAGTAAAAAAAAGTCTTATCCGTTCAAAACTCTTTATAATGTGCACCTTAAAGGCATAGTACTGTACAGGGACATGATTAAAAAAAAAGTCATAAATACATTGAAAACCAATTAATCCGTTCGTATTGCGAAAAAAAATTTGTAATCTGAGCCATTATTTTCAATGGATTTTCATTCGTAAACCGAAAATTACATTAATCGAGACGTTTGTAAACCGAGGTATGCCTGTATATGTATATATCAGCTATTTGCATGGCATTCAGCTTAAATTCATAACAGCACCACCTTGAAGTGTTTAATGTAGACTGGAA